CCCAGTCCGGGGTGGATGGGGGGTGGTCACCCGTGGCTTTCATTTTCCTCGGGGAAACCGAAGATTTCTACTTCTTAGACCCCCATCCACTCCTCCTCCCACCTGAGTTCACAGTGGTCCATATAGCCAACTGCGGCGCCACGTGTACCTGGATGTCCCAGGGGATCCCCAAGCCAGCAGTCCCAAACAGAACTTCGGCTGTCTTCATGACCACCCCCAAGTTCCATTCTCTGTCCCAAGCCGGACACACTCCAGGTGACATCCTTGAATAGTTAGGCTTGAGTGTGCAACGAATAGCCGTGCCTTTCATTCTTAAATGTTGTTCAACATTCTTAAATGTTGTTCAAGCTGCAGGGGTTGCCGGTAAAATTTCACAGCAGACACTATTGATACCCCACCCCATGAAATCAGCATGCTTCGGATTCCGAGCTGCCCTTCTTGCTTAAAAACAGTGGTCCCTAGTGATACCTTGCGTCGCTTGTGTAGGATACACTTATTTGCGCACGATGGGCACCTTGCTAACTGGGCCCCTGGAAGCATCTTCCTGAAGCCATGGGACCCCCATTGTCGCCCCCCAGACACTGCTATATAGCTCAGGGATGTGCCTGGAGGCCTCACTCCCTTCCCTGATTCACAGGAGCCTGTACCTTAAGTGCTCTCTCCTCCTCCTCCCTCTTTTGGGGGAGGGAGTGACTTGAGACCTTATCTCTGGAAGGAGTTGAGACCTTTAGGGAAAGCCCAAAGGAGCTTTGGCTTTCTGCTGCCGGTCCTATCTGAACCCCCAAGTCAAGGGAACACACAAGAGCCCAGAGGGGGGAAATAAAAGTTAGCATTTCAACAAAAATGCTGCCTCATTGGGGACACTTAGCTTTTGGTCAAGTCCTGTGGAGTCTGCGTGTTTTGTTTCCTCATAAGGATCCATACCCCTAAGTCTGCCCTAGCTCAGGCCAACACCAGCCCTCACCTGGGCCTGGCATAGTTCCAAATTTAGCTGATTTCCACCTCCCCTCCCCCTTTCAGCCCCCCCCTTCCATCTCAACACCCTCCAATCACCTTCACCCCCACCCCCCACCTCACCCACCCACCCCCATTCAGCCTCACCTCCCCCTCTCGATCTCACCTCCCTTCCTTTCAGTCCTACCTCCCCCTTTCAGTCCCATCACTGTAGCCTCTTCTCACCCAAGTGGTGTCCGCTCCCCTCCCTGCAGTCTGATTTATCACCTCACACCCCAAAGTCTGTCTGAGAAACATGCGCATGTGCCCATTCCTCTCCCACTCCCCTTCACCTTAAGACCCCACCCCCCTGCCATTCCCCAGCAAAACAGCTTTCATGGCTCTTCCTGCCTCCAGGTTTGTTGGGACCTGTCTTCCTTTTCCAGCACTGCTCTGAGAGAGCTGGCACAGCGGGGCACTCCAACCAACAGAGACTCCCTTTCTCACATTTGGGGGGCGCTGGAAGTCCAAATTCTGGGGCCGGCTCTAAGGGGAGACTTCCTCTCCCCTTGACTCCTGAAGGGGAAGTCATTGGCTCCTCTCACTTCTGCTAGCACCTGGGTGATCTGCACGTGGCTTGCCACCTGTCTTCCCCATCTCTGCTTCTTAAACTGATTTAATCTCATTTCTATCTCAAAAGAGATGGATTTGAAGTCCCCCTGACACTCATCCAGAGCCATTAACATAACAAAGGCAAGCCATTCCCAAATGGGATTACAGCCACACGCACTGAAGTTAAAATGTACCACACACCTTTGGAGGGGAGCACCGTTCGCACTGAAGTTAAAATGTACCACGCACCTTTGGAGGGGAGCACCGTTCGCACTGAAGTTAAAATGTACCACACACCTTTGGAGGGGAGCACCGTTCCTTCCATAACTGACTCACTGCCATCAAGTCCATGCCCACTCACAGCCACCCTGTGGGTCAAGGTGGAACTGCCCCCTTGAGTTTCTGAGACTAATTCTTTATGGGAGTAGAAAGCCCCTTCTGTCTCACTCAGCAGGGCTAGTGCAGTGGTTCTCAACCTTCCTCATGCCGCAACCCTTTCATACAGTTCCTCATGTGCTGGTGACCTCCCCCAACCATAACATTATTTTTGTTACTACTTCATCACTGTCCTTTTGCTACTGTTAGGAATTGGGCGACCCCTATGAAATAGTCATTCGACCCCCAAAGGGGTTGCGACCCACAGATTGAGAACCGCTGGGTGGTTTATCAGCCCTCGGTTCTATGGTGTATTCTTACCTTCTACCCCAGAGCTTCATCTTTTACTTTTGTCCCTACTGCCACGACTAGACTCTGCTCCATCTTCACCTAGCTCCCTAAAGTTGTTAAGCACACCATTCCGTTCAGCAAGCAATAGCCAACATTTCTATGCACCAGGCCTGGCAGTGAATGACAGGACTCCTATTGTTTGATTCTAACGTTGGTTGCTGCCAAGCCTTCTTCCTAGATCACCTCCCATTTCTTTCTCTGACAAACTCCTGCTCATCTTGTAAGGCCCCGTTTGACGTGATCTCCTCTCTGGGGCTTTCCCTGACTCCCCTGGCCAGTTAGTGGCTCCTCCCTCCCTGCTCTCGTCAACCCAAACCCAACCCATCACCATCAGGTAACTTCTGACTCTGCCCACCCTGCGACCTGTGACTGTGGCTCCAGTGTTAGCCCTCCCTACGCTTTGCTAGGAGGGCAGTGATGGTGCCGGGGGAGAACCGTCCACGTAGGAGACCCAGGTTTGATTCCCCGTCCTGGCACAGCCACCACCCATCTGTCCAGTGGGGGCTTCTGAGTTGCTAGGGCACTGGACAGGTGACTGCAGAGTTTCCAGACGAAAGCCAACTAGCAAGACAGGTCCTGACAACTAACTGAAACCCAACCGATAAACGCCTTGTGGCTCACTATGGCCAGATCCACAACCAATCATGGGATGGCACATGACCACCCGGGCAGCGTTTTGTTGTGTTGTGCTTGGGGTTGAGGGCCAGCTGGATGGCAGCTGACATTTGGCTTTGTCAAGCAGACCCTTGGTTTCCAGCGCCACCCAGTGTTGGAGTATCCAATAAGCAAGGTAAGCAGGGACTTACTTGGGTTCACTTACTAATATGTAGTGAACCATTTCCCACGTCAAACAATTCTGCTTCTAGGCCTGGCTGGCACCCGTCTTTCTTCCTGCTGAATCAAAGTCTCTTTGCAAGTGTACAACCCCTGACAGAGCTTAACTTGCTTCTTGGGTAATTCACTCCTGCTTCCAGCCGCATGTCTATCTCCAAGACAGACCTTCCGTTTGCCTTTGATTAGCACCCACACATTTTCCCCATCCCAGGAAATCACTCCCTCATCCATTCAGTTGCCTGAACTGAAAACCTAGACATCATTCCTGTTATTTCCTTGGCCCTCATCCTGGACCCCACTTCCAATCCATGAGCATGCCCTGGCAGCTCTGCTCCCAATGTATAGCTCCAGTATCTTTTCCCCTCCAATGCCACCCATCCTGGATTTCTTGTCCAGATGACTGCAGCAGATGCCTAACTGCACACAGCAACTAAGGCGATGGTATAAAATCTCAATTCTGATTATGTCATTATCTTGCCTAAAACCCTCCAGCGTCCTGCCAGGGCACTTAGAGTTAAATCCACAGGGCTCGTTCCCACCTTCTCGCTCTCATCTTTCCCCTCACCTGGCCACCTTGCTCCCCTCCAAGTGCACGCCTCCTCTGTCCTAGCCTCGAGGGTCCTGCACTTGTGGCTCCCTCCTCCCAGAGCGCTCTGTGCCAGCATTTTGCTCATCCTTCCAGCCTCGGCTCAAGGTTCGCCTTGCCTTCTCTGACCGTCTTGGACCTTCCCCACTGCCTCTCCTGGTGGCTGCCTCTGAATTCATCATCGTGTCTCTTTTCTGCAGAGCTCTTACCCCAGTCTTTAACTATCTCCTCTGTATCGTTCCGATTTTAGTATACGTGCTGCCCGAGTGAGCACAGTCTTTAACTATCTGGGTCATCTGTGTTTTGTCTGTCTCCCCATGTTAGAATGTACACTGCAAAAGAGCGGGCAACCGGCCTGAATTGTCCACTGCTCTCCCCGGAACCAGGCGTAGGCCTGGCACGCAGCCCCTTCTCAGTCAATCTTGGTGGATTGGGGGAGGAGAACGACGAGGAGCGGTCAGAGAAAGGAAAAGAGCCAGGAGAGAGTGGGCTTGAGGGAATGAAGGGAAGAACACTGAAATCAAGGTCAGAGGGTTCTGGCTCATAACAAGGCCTGCAGCCGGAACGAGGGCCAGGGCATCTCCAGAGTCTGGAGTGCCAGGATCTAGGTTGTGGAAGAGGGTGTTGGCCTTTGTTGTTGGCCACAGTCATACCTGCGTGTCTCAGATGAGTTATTCAAGTCTCTACCTGCCCTTTCCCTACAGGAAGGACGTTTCCCAAGAAGGGACAGACGTGTGTGGTACACTACACAGGTAGGTCTCTTACTCTCACCCAGACAGCCCCTCCAGAGGGGTCTGCCCCCTAGACTAGGCCTAAGGCCCAGGGCCGCCCACCCTCGCTCTCTCTGGCCAGCTATCTCCCACTCCTCCTAGCCAGGAGAAGAAGGAGAAAGAGGACTTGCAAGGTCAGTTGCTGCCCATTTATGCCAACAAGGCCTTCTGTGGTACAACTGCCACTCTTTATGGGAGTAGAAAGCCTCGTCTTTTTCCTTTGGAACATAGTGGTTTTGAATTGCTGACCAGATTTTTAGCAGCACAGCATGTAACCCACTACTCCACCAGGGATTCTTGTGCATTGGGGTACAAAGGGTGGAGGGTACAAAGGAGGCAGATGCGTCAATCTGAAGTTCCATGCAGTGTGATGGGTGGGGTGTTGGTAGCTGTGCCTGTATCAGCGAGCCCTGGGAGCCCAGAGGCTGACCCTTGTGATCTGGATCTGAATCTGAGTGCAGGTGGGCTGAGGGGCATTCTAGGTGGAGTTCCTCAGGACTGCTATTAGGAAGAGCTTTGAACAGGTGTTTGTTCTGGGGGAGCTGAGGGATGAGCGCAGGGGGAATGCTCTGCCTTGTGACCTCTTTCCGAATGTGACAAACTCAGTGACAGCCACTTAGCAGACAGCAAAGCCAGTTTAATTTCTAGGCCATAATCGGATGGGGCCATTTTTAGCAGTTCTCTGGGCCAGTGTGATGCGCCAGGTTAATTCTAGGCAGACGGTGTGGATGTTTCTCAACAGCTGTGTTGCCAGTCGCTGACGTCAGTGGACTGGAGCTGTTTTAGATCCTGGTGATGTGGCCTAATTCCCATGAGTCCTCTGACCCATGTAATTAATTTATCTGTTCTACGTATTGCAGACAGACTGGTACTTATCAAGTTAGTGAAACCACATCTTCAGCAGAGACTTTTCACAATACACACAGGAAACTGGCATGTACATTAGACTCTATGGTCAGCTGTGAGCCGGCTCTGAACAGGAGACTGCATGGCACTTTTTTTTTTTTTTTTACATTTTATTAGGGGCTCATACAACGGTTTTCCCAATCCATACACACATCAATTGTGTAAAGCGCATTTGTACATCGTTTCT